TAATGTTTACATTGATATTTTAGGCCAAACCGACTATTTAAAGAATTTATATTTTGTATATTTATTGGAATTACGGGCTCTCCATAAGAGTGAACCCTATTTGCTAAACAAAGTCAATTGGCAGTCAAGTGGTGACCAATCGCTCACCAAAGAGGCCATTAAAGACTTGCTCCGAACAGTCAAGTATGCGAATCAAATTGAATGCATGTTTTGTTTTTTGTTTCAATATTAATTGTATGGCTTTTAATAGGAAATTCAAGTTTCATTTCAACGAATCAATTCTATTCAAACAACAGCCGCCAAACGTAGCTCAAGAAGTGGGCCAACACTTTCATAACATCACTACTAATATAATGGATTGTGTGGCCTGTGATAGGTGTCGACTATGGGGTAAAGTGCAGACTCACGGACTCAGCACTGCGTTGAAGATTCTGTTGACGGACGACATCGACAAACTGCGTCTACACCGACACGAGATCACGTGTTTGGTCAACGCTTTGGCCCGACTGTCGAACAGTATATCGCAATTGGAAGTGTTTAAGAAGCTGTTGACCAACAAATGATTTCAATACTAAATTAACTTAAATATCTTATTAAATGTTTTTTATATCCATTTTTAAATTATTAGAGTTTTATTCCCATTAACTAAGAAATACCGTTAAATATATATATTTATTTGAGTCATTCATTTGTTTATTATTATTACAAAGAAAAATATATTATTTTATATTTAATTTTCTCACTTCAAAGATGTTTAACACAAAATTGAGATTATTTATTAAATATCTAAATATTACAAAACATTTCCATTCATTCATTTTCCACAATAAGTGTTGTTTTTCGTCATTGCAATCGTTGTATTAACAAATCAATCACTTTTTGGACGTACTCTTGGATTGTGTGACAACTCTGTGCTCATAAGCCGTGTCCAGTCTTTCTTGATATACAGACCATTCAGAGAACTCCGTCTAAAATACAAATAATAAATCACTTAAAATATAATCAATAATAATATAACAGTTATGGTATAAAAACTAAAAGCTATCAAATATAGTGATAAATGAAAAGCATTGAATACATGAAAGCTAATGATTGAAATGCAATCTAACACTTGATATTTTTCTAGATATCGGGATTTACCAAAATATATAAAGGCTTTTGTGACCAAATAATAAAATCACATTTTTTCAGTCACTGTTTTTGATAATTTTTACTTTACTATTACAACACCTATACTATTATATAGTAAATGTTTATTACTATAAATTGGCAGTATTTAATCTATAACAAATCTACAGCATTAATTTTAATAAAATTATTTGATAGTGAGTCAATGAAAGTTATTTCTAAATTAGAATATTTAATCATTTAAATGTAGCCTAATTTTAGAGCACTGAAATCATTTGAAAGAACTATTATAAATTTACATCATTGGAAAGTTGTCGAAATGCTGGAACCGTTTCCTTTTTACCGACTCTCTCGAGATATCTGTGTCTGAATGCGTGAACCAATTCAACAAAATTGTTATTCTTATCGTATTTGAGGGCCAATTCGAGAGCTCTTTCCCATCTGAAGAGTTCCAGATTCAGGGAAATGGCTCTCAGAATGAATCCGCTTTGAAGCAGAATATTCTCCGCTTCTCTGATATTACCGCAAATGAGAGCTATTTCTGCATTCTTTGACTCTTTGTCTTTGAGTTTCTGTATTTTCTGAATGTAAAGCACTTTATCGACGCGATTGACGGCCGCG